AACTGGAGATGTGTGGACCTTGTGCTGCATCAGATGAATTTTGGGCAGAAATGGAGAAATTGGATTAAAGTCTGTATCACTTCTCCAAAGTTCTCAGTCCTGGTAAATGGGCTGGCTGCAGGTTTCTTTGGCAGTTCCAGGGGCCTTAGGCAGGGAGACCCCTTATCTCCTCTTCTTTTTATATGTGTAATGGAGATCTTGACTCTGTTTTGTAAGAAGGTTGCAAGCTCGGGAGAGTGGGATGGTTTTGCTATTGTGCTGGGGGGAGAGAAGGTGAATATTTTTCAATTTGCAGATGATACTCTATGTTTTGTGGATGCCCCTCCCTCTCAGGTGGAACTTGTCCTTGGAATTCTATCTTGGTTTGAAGTGATCACAGGGCTAAAAGTAAATTGGAACAAGAGCCAAATCATCCCAGTTGGACAAGTTTCTAATTTAGCTGAATGTGCTGATATTTTGGCTTGTCAGATTGGATCGCTCCCAGTTAATTATTTGGGCCTCCCGTTAGGGGTGAGTGGTGGTTCCTTTGTAATTTGGGACCCAGTTATTGAGAGATTGGAAAGGAAGCTGGCTTCTTGGAAGGCAAAATATCTTTCTTTTGGGAGGAGGGTGACTCTGATTAAGAGTACTCTCTCCAATTTGCATACCTACTTCTTGTCTCTTTTCTATATTCCTAAGAAGGTTGCAAATCAGATCGAAAAGCTTCAAAGGAACTTCCTTTGGAGAGGCTGGGAGGAGGAGAAGAAAGTGCACTTGGTGAGTTGGGAGCAAGTTTGCCTCCCCAAATCAGATGGGGGGTTAGGTATAAGGAAGCTGAAAAATTTTAACTCTTATCTGCTTGGTAAATGGATATGGAGATTTGCTGTAGAGCCTGATGCGTGGTGGAGATATCTTATTGCCAGTAAATATGGTGTGAGTTGGGGAAACCGGAGAACTAGGGATCCTCCTCCTAACTGGGGTAACTCCCTATGGAAAGGGATAATGAAGACCTATTCAGATTTGGCCAGGGGAGTCTCAATTAGGGTGGATAATGGTAATAGGACCAAATTCTGGAAGGACCCTTGGTGTTCTAATGTTCCTCTTGCCGAGTCCTTCCCGCTCCTATTTCAGTGTGCTTCAGATCAAGAGGTCTCAGTTGCTGAGTGTTATAGCATTTCGAGTGGTTCAGTTCTTTGGACTCCCTCTTTTCGCAGGAATCTTTTTGATTGGGAGATGGAAGAGGCTGTGAATCTCTTGTCATGTCTCCAAAATCAAGCTCTGGATTATAATTTGGAGGACAAGTGGTTTTGGTGGTGGAATTCTGATGGTCTGTTTTCTGTTAAATCCCTGGCTGCTTTGATAGGAAGGAGGGGTGGGCCTGATTTACCAGCTCGGCAAATATGGAATCCAACCAGCCTGACAAAAACATGCTTCCTAGTTTGGACTATGGCTCTAAATAAATGCCTTTCTAAGGAAAACCTAGTGAGAAGGGGCATCCAGGTTTCAGACTTGTCTTGTAGTTTATGTGGTTGCAATGTTGAATCCACTGATCGTTTGTGCATCCACTGCCCGTTTTCTGCTCATTTGTGGAATCATCTCCTCAACATTGTGAAGGTTAGCTGGGTGATGCCGAGGTCGGTTAAAGAGTTGTTAAACTGTTGGCAGATTAAGGGTTTGAGCAAGAAAAGGAAGGTCCTCTGGAAGCTAATTCCAATTGTGGTTATCTGGTGCATCTGGACCGAGAGGAACAGAGGGTTTTTAATAACAAGTCTCTTAGTCCGGAGGATCTATCTCAGAAGTTAGTGGGCAAGCTGGTTTCATGGCTGTCTGTGACTGCTGAGTTTAGAAATTGTAATGTATCAGATGTTTTATTTTCTGTTTCTTGATGGTTCATGTATTTTCTGTTTTTGATCAGTCAGCCATTTCAGGGACTGATCTCAGCCTCCTGTTTGTATCTCTTTCTCAATAAATATTACTTTACCTTTTCCAAAAAAAAAAGTTCACCTTGATGTTATGGCCATTGGATCTGGGTTTTTGATTGAAGGTTGTTGGAATGGCCACATCTCCCTTTCTTCTTCTTGCTCACCGTACACCAACCTTATTCGTTCTCCTCTCCGATGACCATTGTGTGGACAGTCACTTCTTCCTAAGCTTCCTGCATCTTGGTCTGATGTAAAATCTCTCTCCTCCATTCTCTTCTTGACCTCCTCAATTGACCACCCTGCCACCCTTTGAATAATCATTTCCTTTCCCACAGCTACTGCTTCCGGAAGTCCTTGGGGATTGCTTGTTTCTCCACTTTAATCTCTGGCCACAGAGTAACCACATATAAAACATCCCCATTCACTATATTCACCGTATGGGGTGGAACACCTATCCTGTTCACCTTTATATGTACACATTCAGTGGACAATCGGAAGTCATCTGATTCATCTACCTCTAGGAAACCTCCACAGGCATCACCCATCTTCTGCACGATTTGAGAATGCCACAAGTGTAGGGGAAGGCCATACACTCTAATCCATATGTAACTAGGAACGTCCTTTGCTTTCACCCAGGTTTCACACCTTTCTGACCATGGCTCAAGATGAAGCAAAGCCACTTTAAAGTTTCTAGCTCCAATGTTCAAGACCTTGGATGCCTCCACTGGTGAAACTTGTCATTCATTTTCCTATCACCCACTCCATCACAAAACCACTAGGTCCTGTTTTCCCATCGACCAATTTCATCTCCATCTAGGCCATCCATATCAAAGCAACCCACCAAGCAACCTTGAAAGAAATTTCTTCTCTCCAAAACTCCTTCCTTCTCTGCTTCCAGAAAAAAGTGGCGTAGATTTGCCTTAATTTCACAGGAGCCCCTCTGATTTCTTTTAGTGCCCTTTTCTCCAACTGATCCTCTCCTGCCACCCTTGTTCTGCCTGAAAGTACCTTTCCTCCCCCCCAAACCATCCTGCATTCTTCTTCCGCTGTTGAAGTCTCCAACCATCACTAATCAAACGATGATTGTGAGTTTGACCAAACATCGTTGGTCGATTGAGGCTAGAGTGTTGCCGGTCAAACATCGGCCAATGTTTGAATTATTTTTCTGTTTATTTGCCATCACACAAACAACAAACTTGAAACAGCATCAGTCAAAAAACATTATTGTCATATTTTAGTATTGGCTTGGATTTCTACTTCATTTCCTAAATCCTAACATCTAATGTGATAGAAAAAGTGTGTAGCATTTTTTGTATGGCATTCAAAATTCTGTGCTGTATCCTCTTCTTTTCTCTTCTCCTTTTTAGGTGGTGAATGGGGTAAGATAACTGGATTAACCTAGAACCTCATGGTTGTAATGTAGAAAGTAAAATAATTAAGCTACATAAATGATTGTAGACTCCCTATAGAACTACTTCCTATGAATGTCCAGTAAGAGGAGAAAATTCATTGTATTGAACATAGGTGGCCACATCTGATGGTGGACTCCCCCAATGAATGTGCAAAGCCTGTTTACTTCCACCCCTTCTATCTGGCCAACAAAAAGGGCTAAGGTTATGTGGGGATGTGTCAGGGCTGCAATTTGCTGGACTATTTGGGAAGAAAGAAATTCAAGGATTTTTTTTTTCAGAAAAGGAGAGAAGCTTGGAAGTAACTTCGGAGGTAATTCATATAAGGGTGACACATTGGTTAAAAACTCTGGATATGTTTTCAGATTTCTCAGTAGATGATTTGCTAAGGAAGTGAAGGGAAATTGCACAGTCAGCACCAGTTAAGATGGTCTCCATCCAGTTCTTGGCGGAACCCTCCACGTCCTGGTTTTGCTAAACTGAATTTTGATGGCAGCAGCATGGGCAACCCAGGGCCCTCCAGAATAGGGGGAGTTTTAAGGGATGAAAAAGGGAACCTACTAGCCATGTTCTCTGGCCCAATTGGAGTGGGATATTCCTCGAGTGTTGAGATACTAGCAGCTCTAGAAGGGGTACAAAGGGCTAAAGAAATGAATATCAACAAACTGGTCATAGAAGGAGACTCTGAAATCGTGGTAAGTTGGTTAAAAGATACAATTCTAGGCTCTGGAACTACAGCAATGAAAAGAGGAAATTCAATTGGCTAAGGATATTGAGGTTCAATGCACTTGGGTAAGAGAAGTGCAAACTCATTTGCAGATGGTCTAGCTAGACAAGGGGTGAAGGAGAATTCTATTTTTTGGGCTCAGTTGTAATTTCTATTATAATCTTGGGTGTAAGTCCTGGGAGTTGAGTTATTTTAGCTCCCTTCCTTTGTACACAGAACAAAGACCTCACTTTTGTTACGTGGTCCTTTTTATCATTAGGAAATTGGTACTATTGTTGACCAAGGAATTGGTAATGTTTTTGTCGTCATAATAATTCACTGGTATTTTTGTTAACAGAAGATGGTTGTGTGGTACTATTTTAATCTTGGAATTTAGTTGGATCCAGGGGTACAACTTAGGTCTAGGTTGAATGAGGATTGTTAAAATTTTGAATGGGTTTAAATCTGAATCTGAGCTTTGTGTTTTTTTTTGCTAAATAAACATGCTATTTTAGCCGAAATAGAAATTTACATACTGGGCAACCCGATTTGCATCCCTAGTTGGATATATGATTGTGTACATAATGATGAAAAAAGAACACCCCCTTCATATTCACATACTTGAATGTCTATGCATGAATAGTCAAAGTTATGCTTATGTGATTTATCATATGTAACACTAGTTTGATCAAGTTTAGCATGATAATGTGTGGTATTGAATTGCACAACAAAGGATAATAGTGAAATAAACCTTATCATTGTACATATATGATGAAATGCACGTGTACATTCTTACTTATAGAAGTTATTTATATTGGTTCCTCATCCTCTAACATTGTAATGTCAATGACCATTAGCATCATATTATAGCATCATATCTACCGCTAAAATTATGATGGCATTTATATGCTTAGGTTTGCATACAGATATTTTTCCATACTTCATGGTCTTACTTGCAGTAAACTTGTGATACTTGGTGAGCAGGTCTACTGTGGATTGATTGATATCTTTAAATACTTTGATTCTGGGAAGAGATTACATAAAATATTTATTATTCTTTCCATAGATTCTCTGGGTTAAACATCCTGTTTCCCTGAAGAAAGCTCTTCTCTGCTTCAACATACGTCAAGGAGGTAAGAACTCTCAAAATTTCTCTGTATTTGTGTTCTGATTTAACCAAGATAGGAGAGAAATTTCCTTGTACTATAGTTTCTTACTGTGCTTAGAGCATGCGATATATCCAGTCGTGAAGTGTTGTTAGGGAAATAATTTGTGGTCAGCTTCTCCATCTTAACTGGTTATTAGGGAAATAAGTTGTGACCAGAGTCTGAAGGCATTCGGGTGGGCATATTTTTCTAAATTGCATCTCTCGTATAGTTCAACGGAAATAACAAAACACTTTTTTTTGCAATTAACCGCATTATCATCCTCTCTATTTTCCAAGTCAAGAAGCAAGAGACATAGCAGAGTTTAGGGTTATTTTACTAGAAAGTGCTTTTCATATGATACATGTTGAGTTCGGTGCAGTAACATGAGCCAACCTCTTGTTCTTCCAAGAGTTTCAACTTTCAACTTGTAGTTGTACCATCATTATTTATTGGGTAATTCTAGCTTCACGGTTCCTGTAATCAAACCCTTAAAATCAGAAATTGAGTGTAAGCTGTAGGCAAGGGTTCTGTGCAAATAGATGGGGTTCTGGTGAATGTTATGTTTTGCCTTTTCTATGATTTAAGGCCTCCGCTCCATGGCGTTCATTCCCATGATGCTAGTCATGGATGATATTGCAGTACAAGAATCAAACGATCAAGTGTGCATGCAAATTAGGTGATATTTATCAATTACCATGTCACGGCATGGGGATCTACAGTCCATAAATATTCGTTATAGATGTTATGAAGACTTGTAGAGTTGGGTGGTTCAGTTTATTGGCTGCATTTGGTCAGGCAAATTATATGATTCACAGCATCTGAAACATTGTGTTAGAACTTGAAACTTGGAAGGATGTACCTAGTCCAAAATTATGATAAACCAGGAGGGGGATTTTGTTCTGAGCTGTATCAGTTAAGAATCTCTGAAGCTTCCAACTGTTCTGCCGGGTATGAAATGTGAACGCTGAACATGCCTGAAAAATGCAGTCCTTCAGGTGATGGCAAGTGGCAAAACAAGAATTAGCCCACCAATTAATAACCCAATTAATTGATTTGATTGAGATTGAGAGACAGGGATGCTAGGCAGATGATAAATCAAAAGCAATTCAAATGGAATTTGGGCTCATTTTTAATATGCCTTTTCGCTTAGGAAAAATTAGGTGCTTTAATTTTGTGCCAACTTGATGGGAGCAGCTAGAATTCGTAATGTTCAGCGAGCTTTGTCTGATCTTCATTGGATGCAGGTCTAAGATATTCCTTTTGCAAAAAATCAACCCAATAATATGTTTGATCATCATTTAAACTATGCTTAACGTGTTTCAAGTTTCAACCTCGAGATAAAAACGGTGACATGCACAATTGGGATCAATTGTTTTCAAAAGAAACAATTATCACATCAGCAAAAAGCAAATCAATAGTGTTTTGGCTGGTGTGGTAGTTTTTGTTCTGAAAAACGAAATCGTACATATTGGACAACACCCCTTAAATAGTGCCATTAGGATTCTGTTAAACAGAAGATTATTTGCAAGTTTAGGACTATGGAAAGTAGGGTTTGGACGGTTCTGGGGATTTCAATTGGAATGAGTTGACAGAAATATTCCAAAAAGGTTATGGCAAACATGAGTTACCTGGGTCTTTCGCAAATCAAATTAGTCCCTCAATTTGTGAGGGAATAATTTGGCTCGTGGCCATGACCTATTTGGTGTGGTATCTTCGGCCTGGGGGCTCCAGCCTGGGGCTTGGGATGAATTGAGCGAGCCCGAGGTTCCAACTGGTTGGAGACTTCAATAATAAACAACTGCATGGCTAACACATTTATTTGTGGAGTTATTCCCGTCATATGCATGCTGAAGCAGTTGTAAGGAATTTGTCTTATTCAAAAAAAAAAATAAAAATTCTCGGACCCTTGGAAGAAAACCAAGAACTTAATGAACTGTAGGTGCTGCACTAGAGTTGGGTTTCATTTATTACTATTTATTATTAAATATCCCACCACATGGATATGGTCGGTCAAGAATAATGCAAGGAGAAGGTCAAACGATAGGAGGGTGAAATGTAGATGCACGATAATGGTACTGTAGGTGTTAGACCGGAGTTAAGTTTCATTTATTGTAATTATTGTTTTTATCCCTCCATGCAGGGGCTGTTAATAACTTAACTGAATGGCTTATTATTTTGTCTTTTAGTAGATTAAATAATTAAATAATAAAATATTATGTATAATAATTTATTCAGGGGAAAGATGTGTTCTAAGATGATGGATGAGAAATTGGGTGTACATCACTTTGGCATGGGTCAATATATCATTGTTTGCAAGCAAGGTTTAAAGTATAAACACGTATTGGCCCGTATTGGCTGATATGTATCGTTCTAGGACCCCTCCGATACCCCTCTATAGTGGGTGTATTGGAGGTCTGACCGGTTCAGGGGGTAGAGGAGACCTAAAATGGCCCCCTTGAACTGGTTGTGAAAAAAAAAAAACAGCTCCAAAATGTGTATCAATTCGTCTGATACGCCCCTATCGGCGTATTAGGCGTATCGATATTTTGAACCTTGTTTGCAAGTACTTTGTACTGTGGACAAAATGTGTGGATTGAAATGACCCACATCGAAAGGGGCATTTTGCAGGTGTGGCATAATCAGTTTATCCTACATGTCAAGGTTTAAAATTTTGATATGATACGCCCTGTATTGGGCATATTATATCGTATCTATTGGGTCTTGGTATGCCTGTTTCGGGAACCCACCTTTTTTTAATAAAAAAATACCTGTACTTAACTCCCTAAAAACCAAATTTTGAAAAAAAAAAACTCAAAAAACACGTTTCTGAATGTATCTAATTATTGATATCCCTCTGCCAGAGAGGCATACCAATATTTTGAACCTTGCTACATGTATTGATTTTATGCGTCTCACATACAATTTTTGAATTGAACCATTGTGGATGACTTAACTGAATGGGTTATTATTTTATCTTTTGATAGATAAAATAATTAAATAATAAAATATTGTGTATAATAACTTATTCAGGGGAAAGAGGTGTTCTAAGATGATGGATGAAAAATTGGGTGTACATCACTTTGGCATGGATCAATATATCGTTGTTTACAAGCAAGGTTTAAAGTATAGACACGTATTGGCCCGTATCGGCCGATACGTATCGTTCTAGGACCCCTTCGATATGCTCCTATAGTGGGTGTATTGGAGGTCTGACCAGTTCAGGGGGTAGAGGAGACCTAAACTGGTTCCCCTAAACCGGTTGTGAAAAAAAAAAGAAAACAGCTCCAAAATGTGTATCAATTCGCCCGATATGCCCCTATCGGCGTATCGGGCGTATCGATATTTTGAACCTTGTTTGCAAGTGCTTTGTACTGTGAACAAAATGTGTGGATTGAAATGACCCACATCGAAAGGGGCATTTTGCAGGAGTGGCGTAATCAGTTTATCCTACATGTCGAGGTTCAAAATTTTGATATGATATGCCCTGTATTGGGCGTATTATATCATATCTTTTGGGTCTTGATATGCCTGTTTATAGGTGCTTCGGGACCCCACTATTTTTTAATAAAAAATACCTGTACTTAACTCCCGAAAAACCAAATTTTGAAAAAAAAAACTAAAAAAACGTTTCTGCATGTATCTAAGTATTGATATGCCTCTACCATAGAGGTGTACCAATATTTTGAACCTTGCTACATATATTGATTTTATACATCTCACATACATTTTCTGAGATGATCTATATAGTGTCAATTAGACATAAAAAATTCTTATACTTTACAAGTAAGATAAATAGGAAAAAATAATATAAAATAACAATGGCAAAAATAAAATACCAATATGTAATTAATAATTAATATACAAATATATTTGTCATATATGACACATCAGAGAATAGAATGTGCCAAATATGAATTTATTTAATAACAAAAATAAATTTTTATTAACAAAAATGAAATTAAAAATAATTTAATTAGTTTATTGTTTTAAAAAATCATCATAGTATTATCTTGGAATATTGAAAGTTATAAAAATCCTATTAAAAGTTAATAAAAAGGAAAGAAAGTTATTAATATTTATGAAAAAACATCTAAAGAAATTGTTATTTTTCAAAATTAATTTACAAAAAAGTGGTAACAAAATTAATGAAAAAAGTAGTAAGTCTTTTTTCTTGAATTGAACCATTGTGGATGATGGTCCCCATCCATGACAAGTAATAGTGGACAAGAAAGTAGGTTGTGGATGGACTGGTTCACGAGGTCTTGTGACTAGTCCCATCCACGGGCAACCAAACAACGTTTTCATTTCGTTGACGGGATGTTTGTGTGTGTGTGTGTGAAGAACGGGCTTTTTTTTTGTAATGTTGCTTTGGTCCTCATATGGGTGAGGCACCATACACTAAGGTGGTGTTTGGTACCATTGCCATTTATCAGGAAAATGGGGCCAGCTCAGCACCAAGTAAGGCGTTTCATGCAATGGTGCCACATTTTTTGTTTGGTTGAGCTATTTAGTGGAAAAATTGTTCTCAGGTTCTGTAAAAAAATGTTTGTCAGACAAAAAGGTCAAAATATTAGTTTCTTCAATCGTAAGGCATTTTTTACTATTTGGCTTATGTGGTGCCTAATAATGCTTAATTGTCATAAAGCGAGAAAAACATTTTATTCCAATTTCTCGCTTATTAATAATGCTTAATTGTCATAAAGCGAGAAAAACATTTTTTTTTGTAATGTTGCTTTGGTCCTCGTATGGGTGTGGCACCATACACTAAGGTGGTGTTTGGTACCATTGCCATTTATCAGGAAAATGGGGCCAGCTTAGCACCAAGTAAGGCGTTTCATGCAATGGTGCCACATTTTTTGTTTGGTTGAGCTATTTAGTGGAAAAATTGTTGTCTCAGGTTCTATAAAAAAAATGTTTGTCAGACAAAAAGGTCAAAATATTAGTTTCTTCAATTGTAAGGCATTTTTTACTATTTGGCTTATGTGGTGCCTAATAATGCTTAATTGTCATAAAGAGAGAAAAACATTTTATTCCAATTTCCAAAATAAATTCATACAAAATGTTTCCTAAAACCGTAATGGTTACTGGCACTGCCTAAGCAAATGTTTTAAAACATGACTCAGGTTGAACTTTTTTTCCTTTGCTGTGTTTGGTTGCAATGCAAATGAGTTCGCATTGATGCAAAATCATGACAATGCAAATGATTTGAGTGAAAATTCTGACCTATTTTTGTTTTAAATTTTAATTTATTTTGTTTAATTGCAATACAAATAAAGTAAATTAAGATATGAAGCAGAATAAAGTAAAATCCAAAACAAAATTAAACAAAAATTTGCATTTTCATACATTTATACTAGTGCAAATAAATTTGTACTGCAATCAAAAACAGCCTTAGGCTAAATTTGGATGGAATACAAATACAAATATGTAGAGTGTATTTTGTATGCATTCGTAGTATGCATTTCTCT